TAAAAATTAAAATGTTGATAGTTTTTCAAACACCCACACACACATGGTACTTCAGAACTTTATAAAGATTTTATAACTAAATGCAGACCCACCTCACGAAACAAAAGACGTTTCCCTGTATCCGGTTGCGAAGAGTTAGGTTCTGAATGATATTTCTAAACAATTCTTTACAAAACATTCGACACGCGAGATCAAAAGATCGAAAAGTAGAAATTTAAAATGAAATTTTTCGTGAAAACTATAAATAATTGGCACCTTCATATAGAGTGGAGCACGATTTATTAAACTTTAGCAATCTTTTAAGAAAAGACTATCCCAGCAACCACCCCCTGATCCAAAACGCTTTCTTCCCCCAGCTTTCCTTCTGCAACATCTTTCTCCAAGTTCCTTTCCTCAGTTTGCTAAGGTTTACCCTATCTGCAGAAATCACAAAAATTCTTCCCAGTTAAAAAAAAATTATTCCACCAAATATTTTGATGAAAAATTCTCCCAGCTTGTGGAAATAGGTAAATAAATAAAGCTGGAAGAAACTGTAATTTGAAAAGCTAGATTTCTCAAAATTTAGTTTATATAAAAGAATGCAACTATAATTGTAGCCAAGGGACAATAAATAAGCAACGAAATCATTCTCCAATATCACTTCACATTCCGACAAAAAAAATCAAAAAGTTAGTTATTTTTAATTTTTTAGCAACTCTCTAATACTCTTGTTCTCAGACCTTCTCCTTGCCCTCCTATCTTTCTGTAGCTGTCAAGAACTTGTGAAATTTGTTCTTCAAGGTCCACAGATAGTGATAACGAACATGAAACATCCAGTCCGCACTTTACTCGATACAAGAATTTAAACAACTTACGTGCTGGAACTGGCCGATAATGTATTAAGCAAAAAAACTAACCTTACGCTTATTGGTACAACGCTTTGTAGCTTCTGTATTTTCAGAAATTAAATCATTAATGAGGTCAGCATCCTTGAATTCTAAATTATCTTGACGATTCTGAGTTTCAACATAGCTACGCATTTTCTGAATCGTTTCTGTAAAGTTTATATCCAAATTGAC